TACATCATAGATTGCCTAACTTTGTGGGGAAGTGGGGAAAAATGAATATGAAACATTCGGTAAATCTCTGCCCTGCCCTCCCCCTCCCAAATAAATTGGTCAATATATTCCGGTCCATTGCGACAAATGACAACTTTGGCCAATACCCTAAGCTGTCAACTAGACTAAAAATATATTTGAGTATGTGATATGGTAACCAAACTAACTACAAGCTCCTGTGACAGACTTTGTGATACTTCAAGGACAATCAAAGCCACTTCTTGGGATAGATTCAGAACTTGCAAAGCACGATACGGCATAGATATCGAATTCCTGCTACTGCCGTCAGCTCGACCTGTAAATTAGCACAGAAAAATGAAGTAAACTACAAGTGTAACCTCTAAATTGTAAGTAATTCATTGCGAGTACACACCTGAATCAGGCGTTGCGAGATAGTCCTGAGAGCTTCGAGCAAATGCGCGCTTAGCCAGCAAAGGACCAGGCATGCTGCAAAAATCGTACTTACTCAGTTGGAATAGCGTTTGGTAAAGATTAAGCGGTGAAAAGTATGTTCCGTTGACCGGAAATTAAAGTTATCTTATTTTTACGAGCTCGATGGAAAACCTATCGAAAATTTGTTGTTGATTAGGGATCTTCATAAGCAAAACTCCAGTAATTTCGCGCAATTCTTAGCCCACATCAAGCGATACCGATTACATTACAATGGATTATTTATTACATAAATGGAACTTCGAAAAAAGGCAGCTAACAGTGAAACGCGCCAATCTGCAACGTTGTTCGAACCACTCCAGGAAGGAAGTAAGGTTCTATCATCGCAAACGGCTACCCGACAGGAGGCCTGTCGCGCGGCAAGAAGGCATAAACGCAGACGGGTCAGCGCGAGTCGCAGCGTGTACTGTGCAATGTGGGATGTATTGTAGTACATTCTATTAAAGGCAGCGATTACGATAAAGTGGGAGCGCATCGGGGAAGCATATGCACCACACGAATCAGTTACTTGGCTGCCAGGGAAGCGAGGTGTAGCGCTTTCACGACGAAAGGTGCGCTGGTTGCTGAGCAGGACTTCGAAAGCACTCCGCCCCCAAAAGCGATCCGCCCACTAGTTTAGTTGGTGATTTGGACGAGCTGCGTTGCCAGCAGGGAGCAACTCGATTGAGCGTGGTTTGGCATGGTGCCACCAAACGCGTTGCGTGAACTCGTTCATACGTCCGCTTTCTGAGCTGTTACCTGTTCATGAGTGAAAACCAACGGCCAAAAAGGGGGTCCCATTTTGCATTTTTTGACGGATTTCTCCGCTTTTTCGCCACCGACGTACCATTGAGCACCACCACGTCTCCTCTAAACCCTTCTCGGACCTGGTAACTGCTGCCTTTAAAACCGCGTGACACGCCTCCTGTTGGGTACGCATCGTAAACAGGCGAAAGTATGAAGCTCAAGCTCTGCCGAAACAGCTTTTCCACCATTATTCATTAGTACACACCACTACACGTGGGAAAGCCTTGTAATTTTTTAAGTAATTCTGTCACTATCACGACGCGAGAACGCAAACGTACGCTTTTTCAGCGTTGTGCCTCGCATCCGGACGTCCTCGATACCGAAACACATTCAGTGTTATTTCAAGTAGCCGTAACAGTTGTAGTACACAAGCCTGCTTCATTTCAACACATAAAGCGCCCAATATCCGCTTTGGTAGCCGATGGATCACGTACAGGACGCTGACAAGAATGTCCTGCACTTCTTCCTGGAAAATTATCAACACTTATTTGTGGCGTTGCGGGTATACTCAGAACGTAAACAACACCTGGTCCAGTCTCTCGGAAAGAGCAAAGTTTGGCGAAGTCGTTTGTTGGGCAAACGAGGTCGAACACGTTCCGAACGAACGTCCTGGCTGAGCATCAGACACAGAAGCACCTTGAAAATTACAGCACTAGAACCCCATGAAAGCGAATTAGCACAGAAGAAGCACTACCTAGTGGACCTAATCCCCGTGCACTACGCTCAAAACCTTAGCCGCGCACATATGCGACCCAGACCTCAGATGACTTACAAGGAAAGGCTTCCAGGTCGCCATGGCCATTCAAGAAGAGATGTATACGCCTAGATGTGCCTTCGAACGCTGATCTCAAATCTACCTTCCAAATCTGCTAAACGATTCTCTGAACGGAGTTATGAAGCAAAACAGCGCAACGGTAGTGGTCGGGACTCACAGTCAAAACGTCGTAGGATCGGTCCCTTATCGTAATTACTGTTTTGCATTCTTCAGGAATTCAGTTAAATAAGCTATTAAAAGCCGTTAGCTGTATTCCTGAAGAATGGAAAACAGTAAACACGATAAGGGACCGATCCTACGACGTTTTGACTGAGTCCCGACCACTACCGCTGCGCTGTTTTGCTTCTCCAATCA